ATTTTATTTTATTTTTCTTTTTTTTTATTATTATTTTTTTTGTGACGAATCTCTTGGAAACTGCTAGGAAATCTTTTGTCCTCAATTTGTCCAAATAATAATAATAATAATAATAATAATAATGTATATTCTCAAAATTCATGTTATTTTACTGTTCCTTTTTTATTTTTTGAAAATATTAATGTTATTATTCTAATACTATATTTTTAATGTATAAAAATTTATTTACAAGAAAAAAGCCCTTGCTTGTCATCGTGCCATGTACTTGAGCTCTAAAGGACTATTTTGCTTTAGTGCGTTTTGAACATTTATAAAACAATGCAACTGGGTGATATAATTCAAATGAACCTTTTTCATTTCTAGTCATGAATTCTTAGAGGGGTGGATAGAATTAGAGGAGGCGTAGGAGCTCGTGAGATTTAATGTGTCTATTTGAGCATTTGTTACCCAGACGTTTTGTAATTATCGTTTCGGTATGATGCTTTTGGATTGGAGTTTTTTCTTGTAGTGTAGCTAGTTGATGCCTCCTCTTGTGGGCTTGTTTTTTGTATGCCCTTGTATGTCCTTTCATTTCTCTTAATGAAAGCTTGGATTCTTACCATGTATATGTAAGTCACGAATTGAATATTAAAATGGCTCATTTGGATTTGCTTAAACATTATAGTTCGGAATAAATGCTTCCTTTTGGATTTTGCCTTTGTTGTTTGTGTGTACTCATTTTCTTTCTCAAGTAGTTATAAGAAGCCCTTGGCAAATTGAAGCAAGAATCCTTGAAAGATTAAGTACCCTTACCTTACACAAACAGACCAATCCCAAAGGATTTGTTAGAAAATAGGTTGCCATGATAATCAAATACAAAGGAGGAAGGAGAACTAGTTTCTTACTCGGTTTTAATTCTCCCAATCAATTTGATCAATTCAAAACTTTGTTGAATGTTCAACCAACTCTATAACAAGAGTTGCAAGAGGGATGAAATACTTTGGGCTTTCAAAAGAAAAGTAAAAGTGCATTACACAAATTCATTAAGCATTTCAACCTGAATTACACCAAATGAGAAATAAGCTTTTTAAACAACAATGTATTGGAACTTAACCTCCTATGTGGTGACAAGGATTGGGCTAAAAGATTAAGAATCAGAGCATGAGAAGCACTAATTAAAGCTACATCATCTCTCTTTAGTGGTGTTGTCTTTACCTAGCTGTGGAATGTGAAAATTTCCAAGAAAATAAAGTTCTTTGTGTCGCCCGTCCTTATATAAGAGTTTACACCTTGGGGTGAGAGGGAGTTCTTTTATTCCAAGCTTAGGGGTTGTAGATCTATGATCAATGAGCTCCTTCATCCACTCCATTTGTTTGGTAGGGAGTTCTTTGTGGAAATCTGGGTTGAGTGTAATTGTGGGGCCTTTGGGGTGAGAGGAATAATGAAATCTTTGAACGGCTTAAGATGATTTTGACCAATGTTTGGTCCTTTGTAAAGTTCCACGTTTCTCTTTGGACTTTGCAGTGAAGTTTTTTTTTGTAATTAACCTTTAGATCTTATGCTGCATGAATGGAGTTCCTTTTTAAGTGTTGAACCTTTCCTTCATCTTCAAGAAATGAACAAAATAATTCATTTTGCAGCTCCTATCGTTTCCTTCATATTCTCCAATTCTATTATTGTTGAGGCCTTCTTGTTCATTTCCTTGTAGTTCCTCTTGGGAGCAGGAGGTGGCTTATCTCCGTGTTCTTCTCCTTCTTGGAATCTTGGAAACTATCTTTTGGAGGCATTCGTGAAGCTTGAATGTTGGTTGGATTTGCGTCTGTAACTTCTTGGTTGATCCTTCACCAGATGTAAGACACTTGGAGTTGATTTAAAATCTCTTAATTCATTTCATGTAGCTACCCTTTTTATCCTTGAATCCTAGCTTTATTGCTTTCCTCACTTTCGTAGATCACACCTCTAGCTTTGTTGAATCCTAGCCTTTGTTGATTTGATTGTTGTTGCTATCTTTTGATTTGTTCAAAGTGTAGCCGGTCATCATTAGTCAATCGGATCATTATCACAACCCTTTGTTATTGAAAGAAATCGGAGTTAGTCTAATAGAAGAACTAAGCAAGACATGAAGACATAGTATTCACTTCACCATTTTATATGCATATATATATATGCCTTTTGCGCATGTTCATAGTTCGGAATGTTTTGAATATTATGGAAGATAGGTTCCTAATGGTAGGTTTAGGCACACCAGTGAAAAATTCTGAAGAAGGCAATATTGTTTGCCATGCATTTTGGGCCACTTCTCTGATTTGGCTGCATATGGACGTTTCCGTTAATTATTTTTTTGATATCAAGTCTTTTTACTTGAATTGTGTGATATTTGGCAAACCTGACTTTTTATGTAAACTTTAGGGACGTTTCATTATGGCTGCATATGAACATATTTTGCTTTGAATATAAACTAACAGTCTCTGTTTTCTATATAAAATAATAATAATAAAGGTACTAAAGCTTTATCTTGTTTCTGTAGTCTTGAAATATGCTGTTCCTTTTGCTGCTGGGGGTGCGAATTAATCGGTACTTCTGAACGAGCAACAATTTGTCAGGATTAAAGAGGATGAGTCAGGCTGACCAAGGAATCAGCGCTGATAATTTAGTTGATGCTCCGTTGAAGCGAAAACGCGGTCGTCCCAGAAAATATCCGAAGCTAAGTTATGATGAGAATATTCTTATTTCAAAGAATAGAGGTAAGAAACATTTGGAGGCTATTCCTCTTTCTCCTGGTTCCGGAGTAAATGGAAACCAATCACAACCAGCAATTCAAATTCAAAATATATCTGATGGAATGCTGGGACAAGTCGTGTCTGGTGTCATTGAGGCAGTATTTGAAGCTGGATATCTTCTGTGTGTTAGGGTTGGCAACTCTGGAATCACTTTGAGGGGTGTGGTCTTTAAACCTGGGCATTATGTCCCAGTTTCGGCAGAGAACGATGTGGCCCCGGATATTCAAATGATCAGACGAAATATGGTTCCTTTTGCTACAGGAAATCAGAGTCCTGGAAATAACCCTCTATCCAATAATGGAGAGGTCCCATCCCACGAATCGTCAGGTGCCACACTGGGGTTTAGATATTCGCCTCCACATTCGAACTGGGACGCTCCGAAAGAAAAATCTGTATCATCTATACTTGCCCAAATTAACCCTTCCGGAAGCTCAAGAGGTAATGTGGTTCCTGTTGTGCAACTACCGGCTAAACTAACTAATGGACCCTTAGGTCCCTCTGAAACATTTACACTTCAGACTGCTGATATTGAATCCTCAAAAGGCAAAGAGGTTCTTATAGGTTCTTTTACGTCAAACGAATCAGCTCCCAACGATGTGACAGTTGGGATAGAAAGCTTTTCTTTCCAACCTCAAACTAGTCAGCAGGTCGTCTTACAAGATGATGTTTCGGTAGAAAACGCTTCTCACAACGAATCCTTGGTAATGGAAGTACATGATTCAGAAGGTAAATCAATGGCATTGCCTAGCACGCCTTTCGAGAGTCTTGTGACTGAAGTGATCAAGAGAATTCAAGCCCCCCCTCTGTCAGCTGAGATGCAGACTGAGAACAACAAACCAACTGTTACGATATCAGCTAAAGAATTCGAAGTTAGTTCGGAGGTTGAAGCTAACCTCCTAGCAGATGGAGCGTTAATGATTGAACCCCTAAAAGCAGTGCAGCCCCTTCATGAAAGTTCTGAGCATATTCCCAAAGCTCTGGATGACGAGTCTAGAACTGGCAAAATGACTGAGCTGTTACAGGTACACGAGTCTTCGACTAGAATGTATCCAAGTATTTGATTAGATTACTAATACTTCTTGTACATGGGAAGAATTCACTTGCTTTATGCCGCTGCCTGCACTAACAAAGTGACATACTTTGACAAGGTTCTGCAGGAAAACATGATGCAAACTCCAGATCCGTGGGGTGACGTGCACGACCCGGGTTTGATGCTGAAGTCAGAAGAACCTGGGGAATCAAGAAGAGAGATTGGGGATGAAGAAGAAGCTGGCAACCAAAAGCAAATGTGAGTAGCAGCAGCATGTATTGGCACAGTTAATACTCTGGGTATAGAAGGGGGGGGGGGGGGGGGGGG